ATAAATTACAATAAAACAGTTATTTAAAGCTCTTAATAAATAAAGATAATAAATAAATGCATTAAAATTACAACATATGACATGAAATAATGGAATTATTAGAATAACACAATACTATTAACACATATATTCTGAATACTGAAAATTGAGATCTTTAACAACAAATATTAATCAAAGGGAACAAAACATGTGACAAATTTAAACAATTGTGAATTTAAATAACTTTTTATGTGATTTAAGTGATATTTGGCTCACGAAGAATGATGTGCTGTCGGCCGAGACGGCCAAGTCGTGGGGCGTATCGAAGTGTTCGGTTGTCGGCTCCCATATGTCCACCAACTGTTCGGTCGCCAAATCAAGACTCAATCCTTTAGGCGCCACTCCATTAGCTTCGGGTCCGTTAACGGCAATCAGAATATCGCCTGAAATATAAACCACAAGAATGTCATTAACTTAAAGCTTAGCGATTAGTTTAAATATTTATACCGATGTGATCGACGGCGTAAACCTTTCCCATCAGTTTGTGTTGAACATTGAATACTAGTTTTCCGGGTCTCCTCTCACCGCTCAGTCCCGCCGTATAGCAAAGTATTCGTCGATTTTCTAAATATATTTGTGTTAATCACAAACCAAACTAACGACACAATTAATACAATCAATACCTCTATCGGCAACACATATGAGATCTTCGTTCTCGAGAAGTGTTAAACTATGCGGAACTGCCATCGATTCTGTCATTCAAACTCACAATCAATACTCAATTCATGGCATGGATTGCGTGTCAATACCTGATAAACCAAATTGTGTAATGAAGTGGCCTTCGGGTGAAAATATCATGATTCGTGAATTACAATAACCATCGCTTATATACACTATTCCTGATGAAGATATAGCCACGTCCTGTCGTATATAATACCTGATAAACCAAATTGTGTAATGAAGTGGCCTTCGGGTGAAAATATCATGATTCGTGAATTACAATAACCATCGCTTATATACACTATTCCTGATGAAGATATAGCCACGTCCTGTCATAGAAAGCAATTTATAATATATCATATTATGATATTATAAGGCATTTAAATGCAATTACGGTTGGTTTGCAGAAGTGTTTGTCATCGCTTCCCGGTTCGAAGCGTTGGCCTAAAGTGAGATCGGGTTCATCCAATTGATCGCGTTTGAAGCGAAACACCTGATGCAGCGCCACATCAGTCAACCACACGTTTCCCTGCGGGTCAACGCTTATGCCGTGCGGCAGATAAAAGCGTTTACCGCCCCAAGACTTGATCACTTTGCCATCGTTTGGATCCAATACCAAAATAGTGTCGTTTTGTATCGGCTGTCCATTCCTTCCGTTGTAGACATTATTCATATCGAAAGTGCTGTCAATTAAACAAATCAATTATCAATTGATGGCCACTTAATGGTCAGTTCATGACTCACGTGGAGTCCCACACTCTCTCCACTCTATGAAACACATGAACGCTATTGTCTCTACTGGTGGCCACTCCCGACACTTCGCCCAACATTAGAGTTGTCTCCACAACCGGCCAATTGTCCACTTCTTTCGCTGACTTCTTCGCCTGCCATTCATTCATGCGCTCCACTCGAAGACTCTGTTCGTAATGAATAGTGAATGTGAATAACTGTTTGCATGGAATCACTCAAACCACTCAAACCTGATCCACTTGTGACATATCTGGCAAAGAGTGGCCATAAAAAGCTGCCGAAACATGCATTACACATATTGCGAGAGTAATAGCGACAGAGATATAGGAAATCATGTTTATTGCGGTCACAATTGAGGTGACAATTGGGAACAGATGTGAGACAAGTGTTGTTCGTCAACACTTGGAGTGAGGATTGGATGAGTTGTGCGCTCACGCATTGAGTCACTCATTGAGTCACTCATTGGCGTCACAAACAGTCACAACAATCACAGCATTGAGCGCTTCACTTGAACTGTAAGCCAACTTCACTGCATTGCTAAACAAACTTATATTACATTGAATTTGGATACTTTGTTAGTATTGAAAATGTTGTTTCCAAACAATTGCCAGTATTGTAAGCATAGTGTTTCCAAATTACTTATTAATATTACTTTCAGTGTATAAATAAAAAGTGTATTTTCAAAATTAATAAAACAATAAACATTCATAGATGGAGACAATACCATACACATCCGGTGTAAGCTTTAATACAGGGAATGCTATCATATGGTGTTTATATTG